ACATGGGAATTTGGTGAGGGTCACTCACTTATTGGTGGTAAGTATCTGCTTGTTTCCAAAAACTGTGAATGCTCAACCAAATATTCATTGCAAAATCAAAGGTAACGCAGCCATGTGAAAGGGTCTCCATCGGAATCACCCTGTGACCCACGATCAGTCTTCATCCCCAGTCACAGGAATGAGTTCGCCCGCTTTTTCTGGGGTGTATGGGGCCATCCAACGACTCACCATGGCAAAGATTGACTGCCGACGCCTGCAAAAGATTTGCTGAAGCGCTTCCCAAAAGGCTGCGGATCCGTGTCCTTTCGGTTGAAAGTAGATGGCCCTGGTAAATTACAAAACAACTAGGTCAACCAGGAATTGCCATGTATTTTCTACCAAAACAACAATGATTGACACCTATTAGTACAAGGGTTATGGTCATACCGAAGCAAAGTGTCCTTTGAACCACATCAAGCAGGCTTTATTGCTGTTGTTGGCACTTGGGCGAAGCAGTCGTCTCCATCTTTGACAATCTTTCTGTTAGCAAATAGGACCAGCGACCTTCTCATTTTGGGACGCGAGCTCGAGCTCTGTTTGCAACCTTCCCAGGTTTGTTCGGTGTCTCAACTGACCGGGTTCCTTTGCTCACCTTTTTTTGTGGTGGCATGTCCCCTCAAGGAAAGGCCCCGGTAGGAGCAAGCTCCCTCGTGCCCGCTTTCCAAATACCCTTCTGCCCCTTTTTGTTCCTCAGGCTAAACCAGGGCTTACTGACTCCTCAACTTGGTGGTTCGTTGATCCCTTGCAACAACTCAACATTTTAATGAGATGTGTCAGACACACCTCTAAACTCCAAACGATTCAAATGTCTAAGAGTATGGAACTCCAATCTCTGCGTCGCAAGACTATGTCAAATGGCCCATAAAGCATGAACAAAAACAAACACATTCTGAGTGGTTGGTGGTGCGTCGAGCGGTCCTTGAAGTTCTAGGGCTTGATTCCAACCATTCTTTTCAATCCTTCTTCCCACAAACCGGATCCGTTTTCCCTCAGTTTCCGGGGGCTTTCTAGACTCGGATCCCTGGGTTGAGAATGGACATGGAAGGTAGCCCTAGAGTACGTGTTGCCTCCACGTCGACTCCGATTTTTTTTTGGACAGATCCGCCCAGCTGCGCAGTGGCCAGCGCGTGCTTCTGGATCAAGCTGCGGTCCTGCCAAACGGAGAAACCAAGTTGGGGGAAGCCACCCAAACTTGGTTGACCCCCTGCAAAAAGTTGATCACTTTTTGGGGTTTAGTGGAAAACCCCTTGATTTCCCAAAAAGTTGAAGTCTAAAGATCCAGCCCAATAGCAGTCAAGCAAAAACAAGTCCTACTGTGGACGGACAAAATCCATTTCGCACCATCTTAAAAAAAGTGGAATGCTTCGATTCCACCTATAAATAGCAACAACAGTGGTTTCCGATGGTTTCAATTGCACGGTTTTGTCCATCCACAGTATGGGGTATGTCATCAGGGAACAACTCATTTCAGGATGAGACACCGCCCAGGTTTTGGCCCTGGCTCGCAAGGGTGCCCTCGAAATCCATTCAACATGGCAAACGGGCTTGAGACACACCCAATCCATCTCTCCTGTGCAGGTTTACCCCACTTCGTGGAATAGCTAGGGACCACCCCAAAATGGGGCGCAGCCCTTTTTGTCACAAAATTCAATGCTGATTCATTCAGAGCAGGGGACATTGGCTCATCAGTTCGGGAAACATCTTACCCCTACGGATCAATATGGAACCCCAAAAAGACCTTCCTCCACAAATGGTGGATTTTTGGATTCCATGTTCATCTGTAGGGGAGTTACACCATGTGACTTTGGCGAGCGCCTCGCCCGCAGGAATCTCCACTGCCTCGCCTTCACCGCGCAGCTCTCGCCAGAGCACTCAGCGAGTGCCTGAGATGTTCTCAGTGCACACAGGGGTCATCATCTGTCCATCAAAAAAATGTGTTTTTTGGGTTGCTTACACTAAAGTGGCCCTTTTAGGGGCATCCTCAAACCAATATATGCAAATCTTCTTCTCCGTCGATTCAGCTTGGATGATCAGCTCAACAACCGAGCCCTCGTCCTTCGAGCGCATGTGACCAAAGAGAGGTGTTCTTCGCCCAGGGTATGGGTCAAAAATAGGTACCCAAAATAGAACCCTGGTAAATGGAAACATAGACTAAAACCTGCGGTCCCCTGGTGGTTTAATTTTGACTCATACCCATCTGGTTCGGTAGGGTCCCGGCCACAGCCGGAATCATAGCCAGGAAAACGCGGAAGGCCATGACCTCCGGGGCCGACTGTTGGGAATCGATGGCTAAATATCAGTCAAAAGGGAGGCGTCCATGCAAAGAACCCTTTTCGATCTAAGGAAATATTGAGCACTCCTGGGGAAGAGGAAAACAATCCAAGCCAGGACCTCCTTGGTCAGGCTCCATGCTCTATGATGGGCGGGAAGAGTTGCTTGAACATCAGCCCGTTTCAGCATTCCTTTGAAAAAACTTGGCGACTACTTGTGCCGGCAACCAAGGTTCAACTACTTTGGCCAACACTCAACCAATCTGCACCAATCCAATTCACCAAATCCCCAGGTAAGGGACCTTAATCGTGGTTAGCTCAATTTGTACCCTGGAATCAACAATGGTTTCCACTACCCCCCAACGTGATGCTGAGGGCTGATGCTGAGGATGTGGAAGCCAAAGCTACAAAAACCGCCAAAAGCAAAAGAGCCGCGAAAGCCGAAAACCCACCCACCCACCCACCCACCCACCCACCCACCCACCCACCCACCCACCCACCCACCCACCCACCCACCCACCCACCCACCCACCCACCCACCCACCCACCCCACCACCCACCCACCCCCACCCACCACCCACCCACCCACCCACCCACCCACCCACCCACCCACCCACCCACCCACCCACCCACCCACCCACCCACCCACCCACCCACCCACCCACCCACCCACCCACCCACCCACCGCCCGATCGACGGACGACTGGGGATCCGAAGTCGGACGAGTGTCTTTGTACTTTTGCGGCACATACCCAGATCCATGAATTCTCCCGACCCGCTCACTTCGCCGAGGCCGAGGCTGTATGAACGGATAAGGTCAAAGTCTCAGGGTATAAGGTGGATGCGTCGCCGCTGGGAAAAGCTTGGGCCAAGAATTCGGCCGAATTCGCAGAGCATTCGATCAAACATGACTGGCAAGCTGTGGGCATGTGAACATGTGTCAAAACTTAGGTCCCAGTGCATTTCTCGGTGGGTGTCATTTTGGCGCCCAGTGAAGACTGACCTTCCCCCCAAAATATCCCTTTGGGTTTTGACACCCTGGCATCCACACGGAATTGCGAGCTCTCCGAATCAGCGGTTTGAGGGGGCAGCTTGTCATCCGGAGACAAAATGCTAGCTTGATTCTTTAGTACAATCCTTCTGATTAACATGGAACCAAAATGGGCTCCGCAACAACAAGCGTTTTCCGGGTTCCTGGTTGATGACGGAAAGCGCTTCTTGAAGCGCTGGGAGTTAGTGTACGAAGTTGTGGGGGGGGGGGTGTGGGGGGGGGGGTAACCTCGTTCCGGGTGATTTGCAGGTCTGGTCAGCCGAAAAATGCTCCCAAAAAATGGGAGTATTTTTTGGAGCACTTTCTGCCACCGCAAGGCTGGTTTTTGGTGTTTTTCCCTGTGTTTTTCGCGCTTTTTCGTCGACGCTGCCTATCATGTCTGACCTTTTCGTCTGTGGCTCTCGCGGGCCAAAAAGCGTGCCAGTTTTACATCATTTTACTTTGCTTCCGGCCTCGCCGGACTTGGGCGCACAAGGGGTGCCGGGGATGCAGGGGATGCCGGGGATGCAGGGGATGTCGCTTGTGTTGGAAGTTTTTGTGGTGGTCGGCGATGCTGGGGATGTCGCAGGACAACTACTCCCATTTTTTTGGAGTATTTTTTGGAGCACTTTCTGCCACCGCAAGGCTGGTTTGCAGGTCCCAGGGAGACGACACGGGGTGTGTAAGTACGGGCGCTGGTTTGGGTTGTTGCTTGTATGTGATTCAGTGCAGGAGGGTTGTGCAGTTGTTGGTTTGCTCTGACTTGGATCAAGCTGGCAAGGGACAGCAAGGGACAGCAAGGCAAAGCAAGGCAAACCAAGGGAAAGCAAGGGCAAAGGAAGCGAAAGTAGGGGAAAGCAAGCTAAAGCACGGGCAAAGCAAGGCAAAGCAAAGGAAAGCAAGGGACAGCAAGGAAATGGGAAAGCAACGGAAAGGGAAAGCAAGGGAAAGCAAGGCAACGCAAGGGAAAAAGCAAGGTCAAGCGAAGGAAGGCAAGGGAAAGCAAGGGAAAACAAGGGAAAACAAGGGAAAGCCATCGCATGTCGTGGCAGGCGCTTTCCGTTGTTTGCCGGACTGGTTTGCAGGACAGTGAGCCTATGGTTGTGAAGCGCCCCCTCTCCCCCAATGGTGGACATCTGGACACGAAGAACAACCACCATCAGTATGGCTTCATCCATCCCAAGTGGTTTGAAGTGAATTTCTGTCCATACCAGTGCCCCAGTGAGCCTCTCGAAACAAATGGGGGTGGATCAGTACAAGTCCCCCCATGGCCATTTGTGGATGCTTAAATGCCCATGTGCAACAAGTCTAGCTTCTTGCTCCTGCATCGCAATGTCGCAATGGTCGGCAAACATAGCGGTCTAAGATGAGCGTCTAATTTGTCGCCGTTTCAGTGGAAAATATGCACATCCCCCGAAAGTTGTCGCTTTTTGCCAGTTAAGTTGGAGTTGTTTCATCCTTCTCACAGCTACAGTCTCAAGATCCAACCGCCCAGGAATGACCCCCATCTGGCCATGGGTCAAAATCCAAATCGTACCCCCAGTGAACCTCCCAATCCAACCACTAAAATAGGTAACCTAAAATGGGTGGTGAATTCACCGAAAACCCCCCAAAATGGGATCCCATGAGTTTGAGCAACCACAGCCATCTCAGCCAGCGGCCCTTCCGACTTCTCCACGAACTGCTTCATGGACTCCACGAAGGAGTCCATAAGCTTCACCTCGCCCGCGTGAAGCTCTCTTGTGGCGACGGCGGCGGAGGCCCTACCCTTGGGTTGGCGCTTTCCTCCCAACATGGTGGCCGTCCCTTTAGGTGCCATTGAACACCGCCAAAACGGGGCACCCCGAAAAATGACACACCCATATTGCAGGTCAACCACGTCCAATGGCCCAGCAAAAAAGAAAACACACAAACAAACAAAAACACACACACAAACATGCACACACACACAGACAAATACAATCAACACAAACACAAACCTTCCATTTAACCCCCCAATTATGTCCGGTAGTAAGAATTCCCTTTAAAACCAACAAGGGAAAGTACAACATATTCTTAAGAGAACGAAAGAAACACACACACACACAAACACAAAACCACACACACACACATCAACCTACACGCGCACATTCCTAGAGCCACACACACACACAAGGACGCATAGACACAAACACAGACACACACACACACACACACACAAACACAGCAGACACACACACACACACATCCACTTTACCCTCTTGACCCACATTGGACATGCCACCGACCGAATCCGCCGCTCCGCCTGCAGGGCCACCAATCCCGGCAGCATCTTAGGCGCCGCCGCTTGCTCCTTGGCCACCTGCTTCCGTACCTCCTCCTGCTCGATCTCATCCTCAGCACCGAAATCTGTGAGACCAAAGCTTTTGTTTTTTCGCACTGTGGATGGACGAAATCCTGCACCACTTTGAACCCACAGCAAACCATTGTTTGTTGGTATTTCCAGGGGAAGCATCACCCCAGGGTTGTTTAGGTGGTGCAGGATTTACCGCCACAACCAAACCAATTTCCAAAATCCCTCCATACCTTTTGAGCATAACCCGGCCTCCCTGCGAAAGGAACCTTATGGGAGGGTTGGGGTCTGCCCACAAGGTATGGAGGGCTCTTGGAAACTTTTGAATGCAGGGTCCCTCATAATACGCCCCCTACCACACTGCCAAAGGGCTACATCAACATCGGCAATCAATAGCATGTTTAGCCCATGCAAACCAGGGGAAATTTACGGCACCCCGGCTATAACTTAGATCTGTTAGGAACGCTCGGGGTGCCTCGTCGACTCATCCAGATTCCTATGTTTGAACGCATGTTCAACCCTGCGGTTGAAGAAAGAGGCCTTTGTACTCTTGGTTGATTGACCTGGATGAATTATGCTCAGCAGGCATAAGCAAGAAACTGACCCACCCACCCACCCGCCTCCCCAAGAGAGGAGGTCACTACAATTTTGCCAGCAACGTGTCTTTGGCTTTTCAATCCACGACAAGCTTGGCTCCAGTCTTGCTTGGTATTGCTCTGTTTTGTTCTGACCAAGCTCATTCTTTAGATTCAGGTACCAGCAGGAATCGACCCCTTTTGGGACCGGTACACGTTGGCTTCAATGAACCATGCAGTGCTCCGGCTCCGACTCATGTCCGCTTGCCCGCCCGGTTGCAAGTTCTTGCTAAAGAATCCATCCCATCCAATGCCCCAAGCGTCCCCATTGCTGCAAGTAGCGAAGAAGTGGAGCAACCTGCAACTTACCATATCAGGACATCCTTGATTGGCGGTTTCGATTGGCGATTTGCGGAATTGACCCTCTGGCTGGTTCTTGTGGAGGGTACAGTGGGCACAGCTGATTGCCCAAATTGCCCTAACATGGCCCTGGCCCAACCCCCAAACCCCCAAACCCGCAAACCCCCAAACCCCCAAACCCCCAAACCCCCAAACCCCCAAACCCCCAAACCCCCAAACCCCCAAACCCCCAAACCCCCAAACCCCCAAACCCCCAAACCCCCAAACCCCAAAACCCCCAAACCCCCAAACCCCAAAACCCCCAACCTCCCAACCTCCCAACCCCCACACCCCAAACCCTCCACCTCAACCCCAAATCCCCAGACCTGGGTCATCGCGTCGTGCCGGTCTTGGTCCGTCTTGCCCCTTGTGAACTCCAGGTACTGCGCCAACGACACCTCTTGGCGCTCGCTGGCGTTGTACCTCACGCCGATGACTCTGAAACCTGGGGATTGCTCTCAAGAGTCAAAGGGTTGCAATTGACTTTGAACCATGCAGTTGCGAAGGGTTCAAACCGCGTAGGTGTCTTTTTTTCAGCTTTGAGAAATAAAGGGCCGTGGTACACCTATTGGTTGCCAGGGACATCGAGCTATGGTTCCTTGTAATTTCAGTAGAGTATGCAAGTTTGGGCGTTTCTTCTGTTTAGTCGGCTAAGGAATCAGTCAAGGCACAAGGCGCCAACCGACTCTCCATCTGGAAAGTGAGGGCCGAATCCAATCCCAAACTGCAAGCTGTGTGTGTGCAAGCTGTGTGTGTGTGTGTGTGTGTGTGTGTGTGTGCGTGTGCTTCTGAGGGTGCCCATGTTTTGTTTTAAAGCAAAGCTGACAAAGGAACACCCACCATTTTGGGAGTTTCCTACCAAAAAGACAAGCCCAGCTTGAACACCTTATCAAAGTCTCTAGTCAAACCATTTGCTGAAGGCCAAACCTACACCTTACTTTTGTCTCCTCCACCAAAACACATCAACAGCTGGGCCGATGGAACTGGGGTAACGAGTGGCTTTGTTGAGAATTCCTGCCCCAGGCTGCTGCAAACAGGGATGCACCCATTCGACCCTGTCACAAGAATACAAGCTTTGGACATGACGACAGTCGTTGCTTTCAGGTTGCAGCCCCGAAGAAATCCTAAGGAACCCTGAGGATCTCTTTCAGAATCCCGGGTGCATGGTGCATCTTCTTAAGGACCCCTACCTGGCGCTGTGGGTGACTTCGGGGCAGCATTGCCCTCAACGCTGACAGGCCAAGCACGTGGGAAGTAGGATGCTGGGACCCTTCCAGCTTTTTCCCGAACCTCAACCGCTAAAGTGGGGGGCGGGCGGTCGAGTCTATCCGAGTTGATGTGCGCAAAGAATCAAGAGGGCGGCAGTAGCCATTTAAGACTGTCCCTTTCTACCTCCACTTGCCCGTGTTTTGATTGTGACTCAACTTGGCCTCATCTCTCCCATCCTAGAGCCGCACTCCTTGAGAATGAGGTGAGGAAACTCCTCCCGCAACGTCCTGCGGGAGGAAGCACCTGAAGCGAAAGCCTCACTGCCCAGCTCTGTGTTTGGAAAGCCCCAAAGCAGTTCCAAACTCAGGGGGGCCCTAAAAATGGTTCTGATAAGCGGGTTCTAGCTTGCATCAAAGGACAATCATATGCGCATAGCATCCTAGAATTTAGAACCCACTAAGGGTCGCCCAACAAATGCCGGGCAGGGGGGCGAGAGGAGCTTCTGTGCTTTTTCTTTGTGGTTGTGGTTGTTGTGGTTGTTGTGGTTGTGGTTGTGGTTGTGGCTGTGGCTGTGGCTGTGGCTGTGGCTGGTTGTGGTTGCTGCTGCTACTGCTGCTGCTGGTGCTGGTGCTGGTGCTGGTGCTGGTGCTGTTGCTGTTGCTGTTGCTGTTGCTGTTGCTGTTGCTGTTGCTGTTGCTGTTGTTGTTGTTGTTGCTGCTGCTGCTGGTGGTGGTGGTGGTGGTCGTGGTGGCGGCGCAAGCATTCACACACTGTGGGACCATTCACAGGCTTTTGGGACACCATGCCCCATCTGGAGTGGGAAAAGAAGCTGTTCTGGCCACGGATTGGAGCCGACAGGGTGTTTGTGCATGACCCCTTTTTGCATACCCCTTGATTAAATCATTCTAGAGGCTTGTTGTCCTTTTCAAACCATATCCTTATATCCTAAGTGGGTCAATCGGCGACCCCCTCAGCGTAGTGAGCTCTCTTCATCCGCAGGTGAGAATCTCAATCACCCCCCGGTATCAAAATTGCCCAGCCAAAACCATGGTAAGAATCAAAAGGACGGCTGCACCCATTTATGTGTGGCACTATCTCCTGCTAAGCTTCATATACCGTGCCTCAGGTGAGCTACTGTGGACGAAATCCATTTCGCACCAAGAACCATGGGACTGTTTGTTGGCATGTTCCAGGGCATCGAATCATTCCAGGGGATTTCGAGGTGCGAAATGGGGTTTCGTCCATCAGTCTTTGCAGAGAAAGATTCACCCTTGGCCAATTCTTTCCGCACGTCGAATCGACACCTTTGGCAATTTGGGGCCCGGGCAAAGCATCCGAAGCTTCACGGGGGATGCATCGGGCGTCCAGGCCACCATCGCCTCTTCTGCGGGGGATGATGGATTCAGCTTCCCTCTATGCGGTGGTTTGGATTGATTCGGGTAAGAAGTGGTTTCGCAGTTCAAGACTCAGGGGTTCAAATCCAAAATACTTGGGAGAAATCTGAGGAATACGCCTGGGACAGAAACGAACTTGAAACCTGTTGGGACCAAAAGATACTTCTGTTTTTAGACCGGTAATCCTGTATCGCACTGGACGAATGAAACACTGTTGAAAAACATCCATGTTGCAAAAACTGCCCCGGATAAAATTAGGGACCCTACAGAATGAATTTTGATGCCCAGAGAACTCCTACACTTTCCGGGGAGCCCACGCATTCCTCCAAAATCCACCCTACCTTCAGAGTGAAGTCCCGGAGTTCCATTGTTTACAGTCTTCCCTGTCAAATCCGTGGAATCCCAGAATTCACGTCACCTCACAATTCCCTTAAGCGGATCCGACAAGGTAGTCTAAAAAGAACAGGAGTCCTAACATGTCCTAAACCTAGGGACCTTTGAAGATGGTGTGGAAAGGAAAGCAACAGGACACCACTGCCAGTACATGCTTATATATGGGCGTGGCTTATTTTGAGGGTACCTTTTTTGTGTGCTCTTACAGGAAACCAGAAAGAAAGCTACAATTTTGGTGAAGACACACCCATATTTCCGGGCTGGTTTAAAGGGGGATCGATCCCAGTTTTGGGTGTTCCAAGCCGGAGTATTTGGTCCAAAGACGTCTCCAGCTCTGTCTCCGTGCAAAAAACCACATGTCCTGATATTCAGCATCCAACTGGGAATGTGCCATTGCTGTCAATCCATGCGTAAGGGTCCTTGACCTGGGCCTCTTCAGAGACCCCGATTTCCACATGCAGCTAGTCTTGCGATGGATGCAACCCTATGACTGGGATAAGCCACACGTGTGTTCCGGCTTAGGTGTTGCTCTTACATGGGGGTGGAACATGAACCGTTTTAGCGGGATTCCTATCCACATGACTAGCTTATATATCCCTTTGAATGGGATTCTCCCTGAAGCCCAACCGTCCACCCAAGAGGGGACTCTCCTAGAAACACAAACCTGAATAGAACAAAGACAACGGGCATGTGTCAAAGGGACCCCCCCCTGCAAAATAGGGAGAACCGAAAGGCCATAGCGTTCATGTTGCAAAAAAAACAACAAACGCACTGCACGTCCTTTTGGTTTCCTCCGATCCTGATCCCAGATCCCAAACATCCGGGGCCCCGGCCCACTCAGAGCTGTCACCGGAGCAGAGACCCTCTAAGGCCAGCAACAACAGACACCTCGAATTGAGACAGAGCTGGGTGTTAAGGCTAACCTTTTGGGGCCATGACCAAAAAAAGAAGACCAAAGTAAGAAAGTGTCAGCTTGGGACACGTGAGACCCGAAAAGGGGACCCCTTTCCCCTCGAAATTGCAGACAATGCTGAGGTCCCCCCCAATTCTAGCTCATCCCTTTCCTGGGGCATCTGTACTTATTGGGTGGATATGCTACTTGATCTGTGCTCGCTATATTTCTTCTTGAATTTGGAGATTCCCTTGCCCGCCCCCTGTTGTCTGCCTGGGAACTTGAAACATCCGTACGCACCAGGTGTTTTGCGTCTGGCCACATTGGAATGCCATTGGAACCACTCTCCTCTTCAAGGGACCTTGTGGTGGGTTGCTGTTGTAACGCGGGTGGGAGGTAACCAGCCATGACCCTTTCCTTTGAGAACAACACACATAGAAGCATATAAAGTCACAAATGGTGCACCTGATGCATATATATATATATAATATGTATATATATATATATATGTACAAATGCGGGTTTCTATGCTGAGACTGTCAAAACCACCTCAAAACTCGAAGACACGACATGGGCTCCAAGGAAATCGCCACGTCGACAAACATCCTCATCCCAGGCTTCAGGGTCCAAGAAATATAATGCCAAGGCCATGACCATTGGAGCAGATGGCTGAGGGTCGAGCCACCCAAGTTACCGAACTTCTGCCTAAAAACGGGAGGGTGCCTAAAAATGAAAGTCATGATTCATGATCATAAAACACTCACAGATTCAGATCCTCGGATTCAGCTCCTCCTCAGCTTCCACCAAATTGGCTGTTTGGATTGTTGGCTTGCGGTCTCCCATTTCCCTTCTACAAGAAGCGTTCAATTCCAAATCCAAAGGCCACCAATCCAAACCCTTAATTGAGGGGTGCCTGACTTGTTGCTCAGTTGCCCCAAGGACTCAGACAGAAAAGGCGATCACCTTTTGGGGCCATGACTAAACACGGGATCCCCAAAAAAACCAAGAGGTGAGATCCGGCCGCTTCGCTTGGGACAACTGAGGTTGGGGCAACTGACGGACGCTGGGCGCCCTGCGGCTCGGCGTCCTGCAAGAGCTCGGCGGCCGCCTGCCAACAAAAAAGGCCCCCAGCGTTGTTTTTTGGGGGGAGACCACATTTTAAGCTTTTTGGGTGGTTGTTTAAAGGAAGACCAACCAATTTAAGGAGAAAGGACACCATAGTTACAGTAAGTTCTAATGATATACACACAAAGAGAACGGAGAAAGGTCTTAGCTTACCAGGCGGCTCTGCAACATTCCAAACGACCCCTTTAGCGGTGACAGAGAAGCTGAGGTTGACCCAACATCGCCCGGTTGAGCCCCACGTGGTTGTCAGGTTTCCTGGTCGAAGGCCAAAAGAGCCGGCAGCACAAAGGCTAAGTCTAGCAGTTTACAGGTGAACTGCCGACTGCACCTGGAAACCATCCCAAATCAACAAAAAGCAAGGTCTTGTTGTAAGTATCTTACCCAACAAACAAAAGAGCAATAAATCAAACGTCCCCTCCTCACCCCCCTCTCCCCTCCCCTCCCCCTGCCCCCGCCTGAAAGACCTCCTCGGGCTCCTTCTCATCCCGCGCCAAGGTGGCTCCACAGACCAGGCGCTCCGAGGCCACGTCCACGTTCACCTGGCTCAAATGACCCAAATCCCACAAAAAGGAACCGCGCGAAAAACAAGTACAAGCTTGGATCCTCTAAAGTGGGAAGTGTGGATTCTGACATTTTCTCCAAACATGATGAGCTTCCTCTAAAAGGTATCATCTGTGGGATGTTAAAGATCATCATGTTTGGAGGAATCCGGAGGACTACACGTGGGGTTTTGGGGGTCTCTGTCGATCAGGGGAAAGGGTGTCTGGAAACAAACACTTAAACATATCCATCGTGCCTTCATTGGTCCTTGGATACGACTTTCTTTCTGACAGACCCCTGACTTAGATGTTCAACTAGTGAATGAGTTGCAGATGGTACACGCCAAATCATGGCTTTCAAAACCATGGTTATAAGTAGGACAAGAGGAGTCTGAATTGAAGGGATCTGAATCTTCCAAGAAACCCTCCGAATCAGGAACATTTGGGTACCTTGTTGCAGTTTTGGACCCCAAGCACTCCCCCCCGGATTGGAACCCCCGGTTGCCACTTTCTTCGATGATTGGCCAATGGAGTCCCCTTCGCTTTCTTCACTACCACAGTTTTCGGGTCATTTCCCGTGACCATGTCTAATCTTGTTTTTTGTGTATGGTCGCGTTTGTCTACCTCGGGTATCCTTTTGAGCGTTTCATGTTAATAGGTACAGGCGTCTTGATGCCTAGGCCATGCCGATTCTGCGGGGCGGCTTGCCTGGTATTGTTTGGCTATGTTCCTTAAGGTGGGTTGTTTTAGCAGACCCCAGGTGAGCAACCTACATGGGCAACTGACAATATTCCCGGTTGTCTACATTCTACCTGTTCAAGAACCATGGGGACAGCCCAGTTTGTCCATTCGCTTTTGCTAAGAATATTGTCCATGGCCAGTGCAATCCCTTTTTGGTCTAGCCTAGACGTACCTACAACGTACTTGCGTACTCGCACAGGTTGGCCTCCAAACTTGGAAGGGCTTTTGAAGGGCTTTTGAATATGGAACATCACCCGTTCTGTGATACAAATATGGCTCATTCCTAAATTTGCGATCCTGCCTACGGGGATTCATCACAGAAAGTGGCCACCCAAAACTCCCCCTGGCCCTTTGGCCCCCAAAGTGGCAACCCAACACTCCTCCGTCTTCTCCAAACAAGGTCGAGGTGCCTTGACGGCTCGCGGGACATCATCGGCACCTGCCGATGGTTCTCGCTGAATCGTGAGGGGTGAGGAAACCTGTGGATTCCCTCAACCATTAAGGAGTGAAGGAGGTTCATGGGGAACTTCCTTTTGGGGGACCCTCTTTTTGGGTTCATTCCTCTTTGATTTGGAAAACCCTCTTGGGTTTTAGGCTAACTTGCCGCATTTTGGCGGGACCCTCCTTACAATGATAATGCAGCAGAGGGGCTTTGGAAGACTACTCTCCTCTTGAAAAGGCCTGTCCAATTGAGTGATTGGAACAAAGGTACTCACCGAAATCCAGTGTCGTTTGGGAAATTGTGGCATAGAACCACTGCTTCCTGCCTCCAGGCTAAGGCTCGGGCTTGGCTATAAGACTCTGGTCAGTTCCAACAAGAAACACCCATATGTTGTTCTTCAGGAACCATGGTCGAAACGACAAATTTTGGGATTTGCATCGCAATTGGACCTCGGACGAGCCAAGAAAAGCCTTTTTGGGGGTCCAAGGCTCCTGTAGTGCATCTTTTTGCATGTTCTCGCGACTTTCTGGTGGCAAGCCGCATGCACAGCCCTCGGCCGCAGCGTTTTGCTGCTCGAAGCCTCTAGTTTTTGGGACTGTGGCTTAAGCAACTGGGCGCCTCTTCAATAACTTATAGGATCCCCCCCTAAAAGGACAAAAAGGATGGCTTTCCTTTTGGTTTCCCTTTAACTTCCACCCAAAAGGTGGTTCGCAGAGCCCAGGCCCCGTGCGAACACGTCCGACATACCCATGACATACCCATTCGTCCCGAATTCCAAGGAACTGAGTGACTTAACATGACTTGACCAGGGCACAACTTCTCAAAAGGTGACACATACTGTCTTCACGGGTGCCGAGGCAACCCTTGTGGGTCGAATCTGACCCGGTTTTGCCCTTCAAATGTCTCGTCCCAAAAGCTAAGCAGTGCCCATTGGCCTTCTCCATTGCGAGCCTTTGCTCGCCGGTGAAACCTGCAACTTTGTGCAGAGGGGGCCGCAAAGCCATCGGCAGAGTGCCTTTTCCGATTCCCGCAGGGGTTTCCCGTCGCGGGACGAAACAACTGGCCTGGCTTGCCAAGGCAAAGAAAACTGCAGTCTCACTCGAACACCGGGCCTTCTTTCGCCTCCACCTCTCTCCGGCCACTTGTTTCAGAGTGCAAAGTGCAAGTCCCTCACTCTCTCTACCCACTTCCCGAGTGGATGGTCCAAAAAAAACCTAAACTTTTTAGTTTCCACTAAAATGGTCGTCCCAAGAAGTATAAAGTTCAGGAACTCGGGAAGTGAGTCTAGCCTCTCCTAGAGCCCCAGCGAGTCCAGGGTGTCATTCAGCCAGTCCCCCAAGCCCTGGCCGCCCTCCTCGCGCCGCCCTTGCGAACGCGAGGCTGGCGACTGCACCGCCGGCGCCGGCTCCAGGGTCCGCGCAGGGGAGGCGCCCGGCGACACCCAGCGGGGACTCTGCCGCATGGGCAGAGGGCTGGGCGGGCCGGCCATAGGGCCGCCTGCCAAAGGAAAGCCCAACGGTAGGCTGAACACGGGCTTTTTGCTTTGGCACCAAGGCCCAGACCACTGAATTTTTGGGGTTTAGGTCTCCTTCAAGTTGCCTTAGGCTTGCTCACCAGTTTTGAACTATGACTAGAAACAACCGGTGTCCACGTGATATGCAACATAACTCCCAAAATTGGGCATCGGGGGAATGAGTGACCTGACCTTTTTCACATTTCAATTTGGTGTGTATCCAATGCCATCCCCTTATATGGGAAATTGTCGATTCATACAAGACACCTGTCAAGCTGGAACCTGATGGAAAACTCTGTATTGGGCCGAACGGTGTTCAAAGAGATTTCAAACAAACAGTTCTGAACGGGGGCCCTGGCCAACCGCAAATCTGTGGAAACGTGGGCCGACAAACTTGACAAGGTCCCCACCCAATTTTCAGTTATGGGTTTTACCAGGTGCTTTGGAGGTATGTTTCATGGCCTAGATTAAGCATGCTGAAACACCCATTCTTTAAATAACCTCATGTTGGTTCCTCTTTCAAGGGCTCCTGGTACATACGGTGGATGCCCGACATATTGCACATAAACCAATGTTTCTATTCCTGTTTCCTCTATGGGTCAGATTTCAGTTTTCAACGACTCACACAAACATGGTAACTTACGGTAAAGTACAGGGTTGCCTTAATCCATCTAATGTTGAAGATTAATAAACCCCGTCCGATTTATAGGGGGGCGTGCACCCCTCCAATACTGATGAATCCCCACCAAACCAGGGACAGCCCCTAAAATAAACTGGGGCTTCTGAATCCGGGGCTTGATTCGACTTGGCATCCACTGTACGGCGCATGCCCTAAATGTTGCAAGTAAGTAAACAAGGAACCCCCTGAACTTATTCCAATTCACCACGGTTTTGTGGTTGAATCTGGTTGGTCTCTTGCTTTTCAGGGCCACCGCCATACCTTCTCATTCCGAGCTTGGCTCGCCTGGGTACCTTGGGTCGCGGGTGTCGCCGGTCAATGGCTGCCGCATCTGCGACACCGGGGACATGGACAAGGGCGAACTCGCAGGGGAGTAGATCTGCGACTGCGGTGACCTGAGGGTTCCGAGAAAAAAAACACACACACACACACACACACACACACACGAAAAACCTCTCTTGACAAGTGAGGGGCCCTTTTTGGTATCACCTTCAAAAGGGGGCACAACGCGGCACCTGGTCCCGAAAAGGGTTGATATTTTTGACACCCCCCCATTTATCCAACCTTGTTTTTGGGCTGGGATTGAGGAAAAACCCGAATTTATTGGGTACCCCCATCTAATACATACCCAAGTTGTTTGAGGGATGTTCAAAATGAAAGCAACTGTTTCCCTAAAAGGGACCCTCTGGTGTGGGCTCATGTTGGTGGAAGGGAAGGTAGATCTCCAAAAGAACGGCTGTAATTCATGTATAAATACATATAGCTATATATATATATACATCTATATTATCAGAAGGGGTTGTCGGAGACGTTGAAACTTAGTTCACTCATGAACGTAAGATAATAAACTCAGGTCCTGATGATTGAAAGTATCATGTTCGTAGTATCTTTGCAAATTTTCCTTATAGGTTTGCCTGCAAGCACACATCACAAACGGGCTTTGCAAAGGGATCCCAAAAACTGAGCCAGTTGGATTGACAAAGAACTGGCCCAGCCCAGGGTCCAAGAAACACATTATTTGATGCTGCTTCACACCTAGTCAGCCCTATGCGAACTATGCTTGCAGATCCCAGATGGCGGAAGGGTGTGTCCCTCTTTGTCAACTCTGATTTCTCTCGCCTCTATGTCACTAGCCCTACGCGTACCAGGTACAGAGCTGGAGGGCGGAAGTTTACATGTGCCTATAGGAAGAGAAACAAAACATCCCCCGCCCCATGCCCGCGCAGCTTTTTGGTCGAGTTGGCTGCCGCAGTCGGGTTGGCAGGTGGAGTGTACTTTGCTTTCTTGCTTTCTTTCTTTCTTTCTTTCTGCTTTTCTGTCTTTCTGTGTTTCTTTCCTTCTTTCTTTTGACCTTTCTTTCTTTTCCTTTTCTTTGCTTTCTATCTTTCCTTTCGTTCCTTTCGTCCCTTTCGTCCTGTCTTGCTTTCTTGCTTTCTTGCTTTCTTTCCTTCTTTCTTGCTTAGTTTCTGTCTTTTTTTCGTTCTCTCGCTTTTTTTTTCATTCCTTTCTTCCTGTCTTCCTTTCTTCCTTTCTTCCATTCTTGCATTCTTGCTTTTGTTGCTTTCTTGCTTTCTTGCGATATTTCTGTCTATTCTTGCTTTCTTGCTTTCTTGCGATATTTCTGTCGTTCTTTCTGTCTTTCTTTCTTTGTCTCTCTTCTCTCTCCTTTCTTTCGTTCTTTCTTTCAACCTTTTCCAGTCTTTCTTTCTTTGTTTCTTTCTCTGTCTCAATCTTTTCGCTCTCCCTCTCTCTCTCTCTATCTCTCTATCTATCTATCTATCTAGCCATCGATCGATCTATCTACCTATCCGTCTATCTATCCATCTATCTGCGCCTGACCTTGCGAAAGTGCTGCGCCTGCCACAAAGTTGGCCTTGCAAAAGTGCTGCGCCCACTCGGCCTTGCGAAAGTGTTGCGCCGCGCGCCTGCCGCCGAAATCTGCACTCAGCAGTTTGGCACTGGAGGCAAAAAACACATCATTTCCTCACCAGGCAAAATGAAATCGGTGTCTTGAAAGCCCCAACTTAGGCGCCTTTCGTGCAATCGGCGCGCAGCAGTTCGCGCGTCCACTCCAATGCGATTCACGAACCTGTCACGAATTCTGATCAGGTTGCCAAACTGCGGCGCCTGCCACGCAATTCAAACCTAGCGAAGACTTTGCGCGGCCGTGCCATGAAACTTGGCGAACCAGTGGAGAGACCGTGGAGAGACCTTTGCGAACCCTTGCGCAAAACAGGGCTACCCTTTCGCGAGTTTTTCATGTGGGTAACTCCACTTTCGTATTACGGAAGTTTTCTAACTAAACTTCCTTTGATAATTATATGTAAACTTTAGGGGCTTCAGCCTCTTCAATATATGGGTGCGACTTTTTCCGAGGATACCCTTTTGGGTTTAATCAAAGGGGAGCCAGAAGAAAGGGGAGCCAGAAGGAAACCACCTGCTTGGAGTGGTCCCCTTATTTCGAGACAAACCCATGTTGTGCATCCCTTTAGTCTCGAGCCTCACCGAGTGCGGGGACATAGGTGAGGATGTCTCGTGCAGCAGCTGGTGCCTCAGCTGCTGGCGATGCGCCATCCTCTTCCTCTCCTCCTCCTGTCGCGCCGATGTGCTCGACGTGTTCGTGTTCAAAACCGTTTTTGGGTTTGCCCCTTTTAAGGGGTTCCCAAAGTTAAAGGGAATCCAAGTGGATCCATTTTTTTTTGGGAAAAAACGTCAAACATCATGGGGCTCATGGCGAGACGGTTCACCGAACAAGGAATCCTTACAAATTCGTCATTTGGCCTCGAATTTCGCTCAGCACCCCGCAACCCCAGTTTCGCTATCCAGGCCCTACCCATCTTTTCGTCGCTCTCCTCCTCTTCCACAGACCGCCGGAACTTCCCGTCGTAGAAGTCGCACTTCTGCACCTCCACGATAGGACGCCTCAGGGGTTCCAAGCCGCGGCTTCTTACCCAGGAATCACCATCCACACAAAAAAAAACCAACAAAACAAACACAAAACACCTACCACGCGGAAACCAACAAACCAACAAACACAAGAAAAAAACAAAACAGCAAAACAAAACAGAAATCTGTGATGGAAACCAACAAAACAGAAACCATCACACACCAAAATACCTAGGAAACCGGGAGAAAAAATCGGGAATGGAACAGAACTCCTCCCCTGTGTTTCTGGGGGGTGGAGCCCACACGGGTCTCACAGACCCCATTCGGCTTGAATGGGCTCCGTTGGATTGATTTGTATCTACCCTGGTAGCTGTCAATGCTCATGGCCACCGCTCGATCCTTTCCGATTTTTTGGTGGTGCCGGAAGAAAGACCGATGTGGGAGAGGGCATTGTTCCCGGTGTTTTGGTGAGTCTCCCTTGAAAGTATGGATTAGGATTGTCCCACCCTCCATTTTGGTTCAAATTTGACTTCCCCTACAGAGGTGGGGGGGGTCAAACCTCACCTGTTGGGAAGGCACAAGCGAGCATTTTTGGGTGATGTTCAAAGTGGGTACTCAAGAATAGGGGCCCAAAGTAGAACGCTGGCAAATGGACAAGTCGACCAAATTCCTCTAAGATTTTGAGCCACGCCCAAATCTGACTTCAATTGTCTTCCAACACCTGTCAGCATTCCTTTGGGTGGTTCTAGCCACCACAAAGAGACGACCAAGTACCCGTTTCCCACGAACAACTTGTGAACACAGCAGCCATTGGAAGCAGCAAACGAGCACCCACTCTGAGCAAGGTTGTTTTGGCACCGAAGCGCCGGGTTGGGCCAACACCTTGTTTCAACATGCGTGCGCAAAGGTGGATACCCTCAATATTGCAAGTACATCAACCACACACCATGGTTGAATTTACAGGGCGTCCCTTGCTTGCTGGTTCTCAGCAGGGAATGAGGACATGACCCAAGGTCCATTCGAACACCCTGGGTCATTCCCTGTTCCCTGCCACGCCCAAATCATAAAACCTAAGAGTCCTTTCTCTCACCTTACCCCTGGTTGGTGGTTTGGTTTGGTGGGACCTTAGGTGGTACCTTCCCCATTCGGCTTCAAAGGAGCTGGGGTTCAAATCCAAATCCAAACCACCCACCAAGGCTTACCCGATTCTCGGAGGAGACCACAGCCTCCATTTGTGAGTACGTCCCCTGAGAAAAACACAATATGCCGAGTGATAGATCCCCTTGAAAACCAGGGAACATACAGCAAATATGGGTGGGCAACCCCCTCCCCCCCCCCCAAAAAAAAAGGCAACGGGTATGTCCTGTTGGTTTCCCTTTGAACAACGCAAACAACAAACATAATATACCGAGCCTCACCAAAAAGACACTTCTCCATGTTCCGAAGCCAACAAAAACCCTGCCCCACCTGTTGAAGATGTTGTCCCTGCCATGGATGGTGTCGCCCAGCGCCATGAGCCGCTCCGGCTTCACCCCCGGCTCGGACCGGCTCTTGCGGGCGCCCCCAAAGCCACCCAGGTGGGTGGCCCGGAAGCGCAGGGAGCCCATCCTGACGGGTTGGAGTGAGTGGAGTGAGGTGCCAGGAAGGGGTTTCCCATTGACCCTCCCTGCGTGCTTTGGATTGGTTTCAGGTTTTTGGGGGGCGTCCTGGGGCGGTGACCCTCTTTGGGAGGGTAAAGAGAAACCACCACGTTTTTAGCCGTCTCCCCCTTTGAGACATGCTCCGCTGGTGGTTTGGATTAAATGGTTAAGGGGTTCAACTCCCCACCAATCCAAATCGCCAATTCAGGCACACAAAAGGAGCTACCGGTTTTCCTGTATTTTTACATCCCACTGAGAGAGGGCTGTCAAATGGAAGCTCAAAAGCAGGATTGCATTGACTCCAGGGTTGTCAATTGACGTCCGCTAGAAACGCGAGGGATTCTTGGGACCCCGGTTCCAAGTGAAACCTTCTGCGAGCCGGCCTGTTGTCAGGCATCAGCGCATTGCTCACATGCCGTGGGATTGAGAAACATGTAAGTGCAAGCTGCAAGCTGTGATTCGCTACATGGGGTGAATCAAAACAAGCTGGACCCTCTTTGAATTTACTGGTACCCAATGTGCTTGAAGTCTCTGGTCAAATCAGAAGCGTTGTGCTTTTTAATCCGTTGGTAACATCTGAACAATGTACTGTTGTCCCCTGATGAATCGCCCCAGTCAGCAATAAGGTGGTTGACTTCCCTGGAAGAAACAAACACATCTCCGCTAAAGCAGGGATCCCGTGATGGACACCGCGCGAAGGCTTGATAAATGAATAAGTCTGTTGCGATATCTAAATCCTCTCCCAAAAAGGGCTCCCCCTCTGAGAAGTTGCAGAAGTGCGGGCGCAGCGGAGGGTTCAATTAGGCCGCGTTTCTGGCTCCCTTGGATGTTTACACTCTGTCCTTACAAGGCTTGCTCATCCCCAAAGGCCAGCCGGATTGTGAGACGGGCCAAATCAGGCCAATTCGAATTGGGCATGCTTTTTTTGACGGCTCCTCCCTCTTTTGGTTGGCATTTAAAGGGACACCGAAAGGAACTCTAGCATTTTGAGGGCCAATTTCGAGAAGCACCCATTTCTGGCCCAGCGTCTCCGGTATGCACTCCGTGCGGTGTCGCGTGAGGTTGAGCTCCAGCTGCAGGAAAACCCCGTCCAAGGGCCGGCCATCTGAGTGGAACAAATCCTGGCGTTGGGTTTGGAAAAGGCATAAAGGGGCTTGGCTAACCCAGCGTCAACATAGGGGACCCCCCATACTGGTGGCTTTCCTGTTTGATTTCCATTTAACCCCCCCCCCCCTTCCCCAAAAATGGGTAGCCTTAGCAAAAACGATACCCAAATGGGAAATAAGCGCTTCGATCGTTAACATTGGCACTTGTGCTCGAAACGAACTTTCATGGGGACTTGTGGAACACCCGAAATCTGTGGACTCGCATCACCCTTTGGACGACTTTTCACATGGGCCCTCGCTGGGTGCAGAAAGTTGCTATGCTTGCACCTTTTACGCACTGGGTTGTTTAAAATGTACATGGCGGGGTCAAACAAGCCTTCCTGAGGCCTTACAAAGGCCTTGGATTTGGATTTCTTGGGCTTCCAAGGTTCGCAAAAGGCTTCAAGCTTGGCGTTGGACTGGTCACATGCTCATGGTGTATCCATGGCTTGCCCTGCAAAGGACACCTTTGGTAGACTTAGAGCAAGCGCCACTAAAATGATCTGCCAAACGGGGGATTGTGCAAACCGACGCCTTGCACCAGCTTCCCTTCCCCGCCCCTTACCCCTGGCCTGGTTCTTTTTGCAGCCAAGACATGAACAGAGTGAAGCAACCAAACAAGACACCGAGAACTCCTCGCCTGTCCCTCGATTGTGCCAAATGGACAACCCTCGTTTTGGCTTTCCGCAGGTTCCGGGCAGCTCCCAGGTTCCGAGACAAACGACTGGGATCGGTGCTGCTCGCAAGGAATTTCAATTCGACAGGCCCTACAAAGGAAAGCCAAAGGAAACCCTCCAAATGTCTACCTTGAGACCTTGAGGCTTCGTAACCGAAACAAAAGCCCCTCAAAACCGTAAGTCGCAGAAAAAGTCAGTGGACAATTTGGCCCTAAAAGTCTTCAAGGGAATCCAAATAACACCCCTTCACCGCTGTTTTTGTGCTGTGATCAGCTGGGACCTGGGGGTTGCCACCCTCCGAGCCGGGTTCCAAATCGACGCAACCACGCGAAGGCCTTCGGGTTCCAAAAGCTCCCGTGGTTCGCCCGCGCGTCGCACAGCTTGAAGTTCCTGGGCGTTTTCAGCGAGGCGAGACGACGACGACCCATGCGTGTGCTGCAGGAGAAATGAGTGTGCCTATTGAGCCAGTGCTTGTCTTTTTTGCGTAGTGGCGTTTTCAATGCTGTTTGTGGATGACCCGACATAAGGAAGCCAAAGGGCAATTAGTCGGTGTGTCAACTAGTGTGTGTGTGTCTTGCTTTTCTCGGGAACCCTTCTGCAAAAACTTGGTGTTGAGACACCCCGGATGACCAAACGTGCTACCCTTTGGTCCACCACCCCCACCTAAAATCAAGGAAGCTTCCGATGCAGGCTCTGATCCAAAGCTTCGGATCAAGCTTTTTCGGGGTTAGTCATGCGTCAAGAGCATTTTCAGGTATGGGTTTTGGAGTATATAACCGCTTAATAGCGGCATGTAAGCCTCCATACCTCCAAACACCATACCTGCAATTGCGCTAGAATACGGGCCCGAGAAGGGCCCCTCTTGAAAAGCCAAGCAACAGCACGATCAACAAATATGTCAGTCCCGTGCTAAGCTGATGATCCAACTTGTTGGCTGCCTTTCAAATGAAGAAACGGACCAGCAAGTCAACAGATTTCCAGGTAAGAGTCAAAGGTCATTTCCAACAGAAAGGTGCCAAGGCAACCAGTGGATTCCCATGGAACTGGAGAGGTGTTTTCAGGTCTGGTGCCTGTGACAGCCGTGCCATTTGCCTGCAACAAGCCTATTGCTTCTGGTTGCCCTTCAAAGGGACACCAGAAAGGGTACCCTCCCTCCTTGTCCCGCACCCCTAAACTGCATCTACCCAAAGCGGGTTTGAGTGTGGCGAATTCAGGGTTCCGAGTCTCCAGAATGACATAAACTCAGAGGTTATCCCTTTTGCTTAACACCCGCTTCAGTGACTCTGGAAGGAGCATAAAATGGGCCCCCCCGTCAGGATGCTGAGCACCTCCCCCATTCACAAATAGACTCTACACACATCAAAGTTTGTTTGACCCAACCCAACCCGATTTTCTTGGCCCGACTCTGGGGTACTTGCCAAAACGCATATTCAGACTTTCCGTATTTGTCATTTGTCTTAGAATCAACCCCCGACTCGGAAGGCGGCTCCGTTTTGGGGCCATGACCATCGCGGAAAGGTCCGTTGATTCGCCTGGATTCGCAGGCGAGCATTTGGACGGCCGCTTTCTTTGCCGGGGCTCTCGAAGTATTTGTCCAGCAACGGAGTGACCCATGGGTCCCAGATGGTGGTCGCCACGCACTCGGGGCGCGAGGCCGTCTCCTCCTGGAACATCACGTCCACCCGCAAGAGGGTCAACGGGTCCTGGAAGTTCACAAAGATGTCCTCCCAGGGGTTGGATCTGCAAATTGCGTCCAAACCAAACAGAAGAGGACCACTGCTAAAAAAGAACCCACCCTCATAGCGAGCTAGTTTTGCCTCCCAGGTGAGGTCACCATGTTTCAGAACCTCTACATCTCGGTCTTGGGTCCACAACACCGACTGCTGAGCACTGAAAGGGTACCAACGGTGTGAGGGGGCGGGGGGTCATTCATCACCGTTGGCCTCAAGGACATGCACGCCCTCCAAAGCTTCATCTTTTGCTATCCAGAGCGAGCTCAACCCAGGTTCGCCTTCCCCACTGCGGATTCTCTTCAGGGATCCTCCTCTTTAGAAAATCACCCAGGTTGATCCCGGTATTTATAGGGCTTCATCGGAAGGATGAAAAAAGGGCTAAGTGAAGAGACTCTGGGTTTCTGTCATACATCAACCTAAAACAAGAAATGGAGCCGAGAAGGCCAAGCTTATTGGCAGTGGCAAACCAACAATATTTGTGAGGTCGCTATAATTTGCCTAAACGACTTGCTGGAACCATCCCTTCTAATTTCCTTTCTTCCAAGCGCTCCCCGAGAAACGTGGATCTCACAAAAAGGACTTGTGCGAATGCAGAGCACTTCGGTTCCTCGCCATCGAAGGTCTGGGCGCCTGACTGATCCCCCTCCCAGCGCACCGCGTGACTGCGGGTGGCCGAGACATCGTGGGGGGTCGCGGAGCAGTAGAACCTGAGCTCATTGGACCCATTCCCCCAATATTAAAAAGTAACAACAACCAGGAAAATAACAAACCAGGGGTAAACAACCAAACTGCCTCAGGGTTTTGTTCCTCTACGAACCCAATGGACCCATCCCGCGGACCCGAGAAAGAAACACAAAAATAACTTGTCCCCCTAAAAAAAAACACTTTAAGCGTATTGGATTGGACCCATCCCCCCGAGGAAAATAACAACAACCAGGTCAACCAGGGGCAAACAACCAAACCAAAACAGAAACTAACTTTAACCAGGGGCTAAACAACAAACAAGCACGGGGTTTTGTTCCTCTATGTCAACTCATCCCGCCGAGAAAAAAAACAAAAAAACAAGAAACACCAGGGGTAAGCAACCAAAAAAACACAGCGGTTGTTCAACAACTTGTGCAATTTCCGACAAGAGTTAAAGTTAAAGGTCTAAGTCAAAATCTGGCAATGGTTAGTGGTTCGGTCCTGGCCAAATGTTAAAATTTTAGTGGGATATGTCATATCTGGGTGTGTTATTATAGGGGACCCCAAAAAGGTGGTTTCCCTTTTCAAACCACAAAAACCAAGTAAACCTCCATGGGTGAATTGGTTGCAAACCGAAAACCTTCCGAGGTCGCAACTTAATTTGTACAGATCTCTTCCGAAAGCAGGTGAGACACAACCAACACCTGCGTTGAAATGGTCTACCCAAATCCTGAGAAGAAACCAAGGGGCAGGCAGCTTGGTTCTGGTTGGGACTGTCGCCTCCCCCCCCGAAAAACGACACCCCCAAATCCCCCAAACGGGCTTGTGGGGTGCCTGTAAAACCAAATTAAGTCATGACCATAGCAAAATAATGTATATAACTATCCTGCCCGTTTAAGGTAACCCCTCCAACAAGGACAAAATGCACAACAAAAGGACATCGGCATCTCCAAAACAACGAAGGGAAGGGATGATGTCAACGCTCCATTTTTGGTGGCTGAATTCAAAGGCTCACTTCATGAGTGGGCAAACAAGTCCACAAGTTCGTGGGCAGCCATGTTTACCCGTCCCATCAAACATGTCCAGAAGTTCGTGGTCCATTCACCGGATCCTCAGCTCCCAAAAGTGGTCTCAGCCCTGGTTGGACGCCCGGCAGTGCAGGTCTGGGTCTGCCACAAACCTCCGGACCAGGGCACTTGATGAAGAGGTGCCCGTCGTCCATTCCCATGTCCAGCATGTTGGAGATGAAGCCTTCGTCCACCTGTTGCTGCCAGGGGAAAGGCACCTTCTTGAGAGGGACCCCGACAGACAGGCAGGTTCCCGGGTGCGAGAGATGCAGGGAATGAGTTGCATTGAAGGAGCCCAAGCAAAAGAACATCCAACTTTTGTGGTTTCCTAAAAGGTTCGTTCCCAACACCCGGAAGGGTCATTCCCTACTGAGCACCAGCAAGCTGTTCGAGGGCAACCTGAACCTTGCCGTGTTGTAAGAGCAGGGAACCGAAACCCAGTTTGGCAGACATGGCGCTGCCACAAGACATGGAACAAATTATTCCCAGGTGCAAAGGAATGGGTGCGAGTTGGAAAAAAAAGGCCGGTTCAGCTAAAGATCAACTAATATGGGTCTGTCGTGTTTTTGTGGTTACCCCCTTTTGGTTGAGAAGGAAAACTCCGTTTGGGAGCGAACGCCAAATGAAAACGCCCCAACGGGAACTGGCTGGTGGGGCTTTTCAAAAACATCATTGGGTGAAGAGAAGGGACAACTCTTCAACTGATAACATTTTGGGCCCCTGAACAAACGAAGCCAACGGAAACCCAGAAGTCAAACAACAGCACGCATGTCCCTCCCGACAATTCCGTGGTTTCCAAGGATCCAGAAAACCCAAAGGAACCCTAGGGCTCTCAACTACCCACTCACCTTGTACCTATCCCTTTTAGATACAATCAGGGGTCATCCCTGTTGAGTGGTTGGATGTTCTCCTTTGGGAGGTTGGATCCTCTAGTTTCAACTGGTTTGATGGTCCTATTGTTCAACCAAGGGGGGGCATGGCGGTTCCCATTTTTGAGCATGCTTTTGTTTCTTGTTTTCACCATTCCAAAAAACACTGCAAAAGGAATTGGATCCAAGCAAAGAACCCTCACAATGGCCAACCGCTCGCCTTGCCCCGTATCGGTGTGCTAGAAATTCAATGAATCGGCAGATTTCGATTGTGGATTGTGGATGGACAAAATCCTGCACCAGTCGGTAGATGGTCGTCCTGGTCCATCCTGCCTGGTGCCGGATTTGGTCCATCAACACTATTGTTCAAGCAAGGGCGGCATGGCGGCTCGAATCCCTACGGTCCTACTTACATACCCAAAATGAACATGATTACCCAACCTATACATACTGGATGGTACCTTTTTGCATCCATTTGTCGCCACCGGTTTTGGATGCTTTGCAGCCTTTGGCCTTTGCACTATCAACCCAGTAAGACCCAGTGAGGTCTAAAACCCCACTTCCAGCCAAACTATTCGGCAGCCAAGTCAGGACCCCGCGTGGACCCCTTAGTACGCTGACAGCTAAGGGTTCTCTGCCCGCTGGGGAGAGAGTTCCAGATAAACCTGGCGGCTGGGGATACCACCTGGGCTTACTTATGGTTCCCCAGGGTTTCGGGGCTGGGGATATCACGTGGGTTTTCCGTTTATTTTTTTCTGGGACAACCCGTCCTCGATATCGGCGATGAGCAGCACAAACTCCGACCAGAGGCCCTGTCCCGTGCCGTGCTCGAACCATTGCCGCCACTGGAAGGCCTGGCCGATCCCATCCCGACGGGCCCTCAGGGAGCCTTTGGCCTGGGGATTTGACGATCAGGGAAACCGAAAATTGGTGTGGGCTGGTGGGGGGAATTGGGGGATTCAGGGAGCCCCTGATTGCTTTGGGTTGGGGAAATTTGGGGAATTGAAACTGGTGGTTGTAGAGTGGAAGGGAAACTATCCCGAAGCGTCCAAACCACCAATCCAAACCACCAATCCAAACGGCCAACTAGGGGGAGGCTTCCCTTGGCCGAATTTGTTTAAGTCGCTTCCCGAGTGGGTTGACCACAAGCATTTACACCGTGGCTCAAACAGGTGATTGGCAGCACCCTGCCTGGAACTTCAGCGCGTAGGACAGGATGTCTCCGATTCCTGGTCGAAAAGAAACGCCTAGTGTCTCCACCGTGGGCATATGGGTGTGTGGTTTTTTTTTGAGTTGGCACCCTTTATGGAAACCAACCATTTTATGGTGCACATGTTGTTTCTTTGGCGGGGGGTCCCCTATTTTGAGAACAACCCATGTTGTTTGTTTGTGCTTGTACAATATGCTTCATTTTTTGCTACGCATGGGCCCTTAGTTCCTTAAGTCGTTGTTTAAGGTGTTGACACAACGAACCTGTTTCCATTGGTTGCGCTGAAGGAGGCTTTGGCTTGGCAAGCTCTTCGGAATCTTACAAGTCCCCTGAGTAGTCCATGGCCGCAGGGTTGCTAAGAACTACTTAGTAGACTGCCTCCTCGACGAAATGCCCCTCCCCCCAAAAAAAAACAAAACACACAACACACACACACACACACAAAAATGATCACCCTCGCCACCCCCTCACCCCTCCCACGGGGTTAGGCAGATAGACGTCCCGCCTGGGGTCTCGCAGAGCAGCAGGAAGATGGCGCAGGGCATCAGCGCCAGCGACAAAGTTTGGGCCATCCCGGCGCTCAGCAGCAGCACGAAGACGTCCCACGCCTTCCAGCGAGCTGGAAGAGTCGCTGCTTTTGTGTATGTATATGTATGCATATATATATATATATTAATATGTATTTGTTGGGGGGGGACCAAGACAGAGAATTTGTTTTTGTTTTGGTCTTCTCATTTTTGTTTCTCGGGAGGTCTCCAAAACAGAGAAGGAGACCAAACAGAAACCAAAAAAGAGGTCTGTCTGTCTCTGTTTTTTGTTCACTTTTGGTTTGAAAGGAAAACAAAAGGAAAGCCACCATTTTGGGGGATGCCCCCCCAAAGAGACAAGCCCATTTCCTCTGAGGGAAACGAAATGAAAACCACGGGGGTCCCCCGCAAAGTGACAGGTACCCATATTTCTTCAACCCATCGCTTAAAGGAGCCCTGTGCACTCCAGTTCTTCCAGCAAATGTCCCCAGAGTCGGTTGCGTAGAGATGCAACGCCAAGGTGCCAGGCTTGTCCAAGGGTCGATTCGCTTTGGACAGCTGAGCTCGGAAAAGATCCCAACAGCGGGGCTCACGCCGAGTGGCCAGGCCCTCGCTGGGGTCGTTCATCTGGTGGAGATCGGATGCGCCCACCCAGCCGCAGGCGGACCCGGCGGCGCCCGCGCCGGCGCAGCACAAAGTGAAGATGGCGAGGAGCTGGCCCTTGTCCGCCACCTGGATGTGGCTGTGGTTGTCAAAACCCTTTTGGGACCCCATTTTTGGTTGGTAGGCGAATTCACCGCCCATTTTAGAACCTATTTTTGTGGTTGGATTGGGATGTTCACTGGGGGTACGATTTGGATTTTGGCCCATGGCCATGTGGCTGCGTGTTTCTTTTTGCCCCCCCTCTTTGGTGGGTCGTTTCATGGGGTTTCCAAAAGGACACCAACCAGTTTCGGGGGCCCTGACTTTGGAGACAAGCGGGAGTGTGTGCTTTAAGGTTGGATCCCCCGGTTTCCTCCTGGTTTGCTATTCAGAACAAGCACCCTCCAAAAAAGACACACACCCCTGGATGTGAGCAGCCTCCAAAACCTATTGACCTTTGGTTCTACCAACAAGGCTTCTCACGGTTTCTACGTATAGGCCTTGAACCCATGAAACCAGGCAGTAGAACCACCGGCCAAACTGCCTGCTGGAATTGACAATAGGGGCTCATGTGAATGGTGGGATTCATGTCCACCACTGTTGAGGCGATTTTGAGGCGATTCCCTGCTTAACTTCATGACCTCAGTGCAAGGACTTAGACGCTCAGGACCGGAATGGTGCTCCGCAAATCACTAGCAACTTTGAAGTACCTCTCCCACATGGAACCCACCAAAAGGCTCCCCCACGCAAATTAGCTTGAAACTGAAACTGAAGGTCCCCCAAAAGAAAATGCGGGTCAACCTATGAGTAGACGTTCAGATTTGTTGAATGGTTTCATGCATGCAGGCAGGCCATGGGAGGGCGGCTATCACGTGGCTTGTTTCCAGGGATAGCCCTCCCCCCTATTAGCCCCACCGGGTTCATGATAGATGGTCTGGCATTTATGAAATGGTGAGTACCCTGCAAGGGTTTGTAGGGGGTAAACTGGGGCTTAATTGGAGGTTGAGGAGTAGTTTAGTTTGAAGGGTTTTATGAGGAAGGATCATAGCAACCAGGAAATTGTCACAGCACAGTGCCCATCAAATACAAGTCTGTTTCCTCTAGACTTTCCTGTAGCTGGTTTTGATGCAAGGATCAGGGCAGTTTCTCTACTTGCCTCCGCACCTCCAAGCCCTGCCATGCTCTTCAGCTGTCAGGGAAAGCCCAAATTGGCCCAAAGGACGGCAACCACGGTTTCAAAGGTTCGACCAAACCCTTGGGAAAGGGTCAACCGCACCGAAGCTTAAGCGATGGCTACATCAAGTATCAAGCTTTGAACGTCCACCCCCACCCCTCCCCAATTAACTAA